CTCAGTCCCGATCGGCTGGACTCCAGCAGCAAGCTAACCTACCGGTCAGAGTGTCTGCCCCCTGGTGGTCAGTGCACGTCATAGCAAGGGGTTGAGCAGTCCTTAGCATATCTTTAGCATATCACGCTTTGATTGGTTGAACGGAGGACTGGATGATCAGACCCTTAGCATATTAGCTTTTTAATATATAAAATAGCTAAGGATGTAGTAAGAAACACAGAGTGTGAGTTAGGAAAGTATAACCTTTATCATGCCTGGCCATGATCTTGACATAAAATCTACAATCAGCATTCTGTATCTATCTATATCTATATCTATATCTATATCTATCTATATCTATATCTATATCTATATATCTCTATCTCTATCTCTATGTAGATAGAGATAGAGATAGAGATATATAGGCATATATATCTATATCTATATATATATAAGCCTAAGTGACCCTTGACCATTCAACCATCCGACCAGTAGCTATGACATGCAATGACCACCAGGAGGCAGATGCTCCAAATGGTAGCTATGACGTGCACTGATCACCAGGGGGCAGATGCTCAATGCAGGAGCTGCAGAGCTGCAGTGACTTGGCAGCTGTGGTTCTCAGGTGACCCACCCGGAACCAGAGAGGAGAGAGCCCAATTCCAGGGTGCATCACCTGAGAACCATCCTCTCGCAGTCACAATCCGGGATCCCTCGGCAGATTTTGGAGAGCTAGTTTTGACCCAATCCCTGTAGGCCAGGCCAAGGGACCTCACCACTGTATGAATCCATGCACCAGGCCTCTAGTTTTATTATAATTCCACAGCCATCTGCTGGAGGAGGTCATTGAGAGGATGTGACCTCCAGTTGACCCTTGAGCTGGACCTGGACAATTAGGCCCTTTACCCTCACCCTTGTCCTTGGGTTGTACATTCTGCCTCCCATCCCCATAGGCAGAGCTGTTTCAAAGACAGAGCCTTGAGAGAGTGAGGTGTTGAGACCATCTGGACAATAGAGTGACTGAACCAGTTAGGGATCTATACAAGCTTTAAGATTCTCGCAATCACCCGACAAGCCGCAAATGTTAGTTCCCTAGCTAATTTAACCTGTCCCCCACCAATCTGACTGGTCTGTCTCCATTCACTCTCCCCTTGTCCTCCATATTCATCGAGGTTGGGGGATGCATAAAATTTTGACTATATATCTTCCTAATAGATATATTTTATCAGTATAAACAGCCCCTCGTGGACATGCTTAATGCATGATTCTTTGATTTGTTTTGTTGGAAATTGAAAATGCTATTTACTCAGCCATTTCTCCAAGGATTCCTGGTCCTTCTTATTGGAGACCATCATGTTTAGAAGCCAAAATCTTATTTCTGTATTTGTTGAAAACCATGAGGTTACAGCAGCATCTTCAGTGCCAGTCCAACAACACAGGGATCACACCAGGTTTTTTTCACTTTTTACCTTTCCATGTCTTCTGGCAGGAGAACCCAACTTCCCAGTGTCCTCAATATATTTGCTTATTTGCACAGTCCTTGTGTATACACTTTGACCCTGCTGGGTAGCCTTTTCATTATACTCTAATTCACTCCTCTCACTGGCCCTGGCTTTCACTAGGCCACCTTCACACCTTTTTGGGGCAGGAACCAGACCACCATCCTACCCTCAGTGACATACCAATTAGGAACAAACTGCTAAGACTCAGCCATCTCTGCAGGGGTTCAAACTCTATTGGCGGAGAAGCAGCTTGGAGACTCTGACACCAGGAAGGCCAGGTCACTGCTGGGAGAGGAATGCTCACCAAAGAGGAATCACTTCCAAACTGCCAGCCTGAGCACACTGTGAATTTACTCCCATGGGAGAAAACCCCTTAGGGGTTGGAGTACAGAGGTCAGGAATAACTGCAGGGCTCATGGACTGGGTGAGACTAGCCTTCTGCCCTCCCTTCCCTGGTTGTGTCTCCTTGACACAGCTGTAAAATGAACTTGATAATACCACAACTTGTCTGACAGGAGTTTTTTGAGGATTAAAATTATGAATGCCCTTAAGGCCCAGATGTGATGACCACAGAAAATATTCTCATGTTTTTCCAGATTCCGACCAAAAATATGAAGCTTCAAATTGTCCACTGAGTCATCAACTCAGTGTCGTATTTGGGGTAGGTTTTTAGAATATAAAGGTGAGCAAGATAAATACGTCCCCTGCCCTTTGAGGGGCAACAGATATATGACTCATCCTCTTGGCTTCAAATAGTCCACTGAATTCCATTGTATCAATAAGGCACAAATTATTTATTCATTTGCCTAATCTAGCAGCATATTGAAATATAGCACACTGCAATTAAATGAAGTTTATCCCAGGAAAGCAAGATTGTTTTATCAATTAAAAATCAATCATGTGACATGCCATACACACTAACAAAAAAGGAGACTGTAGGAGAGAGAATAATGGTCCCTCAAAGATGCCTGTGTCTCAATACCAGAATTTGAGAATACTTTGCTACAAGGAATTAAAGTTTCAGATGACACTATATGGTTTCTAATCAGTTGACCATAAAATAGAGAGATTGTCCTGGATTATCTCATCACATAAACTGATAAAAGTGGAAGAAAGAGAAGAGTGGGTTAGAGAAATGCCATGTGAGAAAGACTCAAACCACCACTGTTGACTTTGAAGATGGAGGAAGGGACCAGGAGCCAAGAAATCTGGTAGCTTCAGGAGCTGGGAATGGCCCCCAGACAGCAAGACAATGGGACTTGGATC